TGGCAGAGGTAAAGAGCTTAAATAGCAGGAAAATCACTCAAACTCTGGCCTCAATGCGATTCCTCAATGCGAGGCATTCACCCATTGTCTCGTTGACATGGTGTGTCTTGTCCAGACGATGTAACCACGTAGGTGTGGAAGCTCTGATAAGTCTGAGAGTCCACCCAGCATCAGGGCCAGCCTCTGAAATCTGCTTAATTAAGAGCTGGGTTCATTTTGCGAGGCCAGGGCCTTGCCCTGTGCAGAGATGGATGCAACAGAATAGCCCAGGACATTATGCACGGTCCTGCACCTGGGTCAGGGCAATCTCAAGCACAAATACAGGCTGGGTGGAGACTAGATTGAGAGCAGCCCTGAGGAGGACTTGGGGGGGTTGGTCAATGAGAGCAGCTCAACATGACCCATGACTCAACATGACCATGTGCACCTGAGCCCAGAAACCAACCATGTCTTGGACTGCATCACCAGCAGCGTGATCAGCAGGTCGGGGGAGGGGATCTTCCCCCTCTGCTCTGCTTTGGTGAGACCCCTCATGCATAAGAAGGACGTGGAGCTGTTGGAGTGAGTCCAGAGGAGGCAATGAAGATGCTCCAAGGGCTGGAGCACCTCTGCTATGGAGGCAGGCTGAGAGAGCTGGCCTGAGAAGAGAAGGCTCCAGGGAGACCTTAGAGCAGCTTCCAGTGCCTAAAGGGGCCAACAAGAAAGCTGGAGAGGGGCTTTTGACAAGGCCTTGTAGGGACAGAACAAGGCGGAATGGCTTTAAACTGACAGAGGGGAGACTGAGATGAGATCTCAGGAAGAAGTTGTTTCCCGTGAGGGTGCTGAGGCCCTCGCACAGGTTTCCCAGAGAAGCTGTGCCTGCCCTCAGCACTGACTTTCTGTCCTCAGGGCTTTGAGCAGCCTGCTCTAGTGGAAGGGGTCCCTGCCCATGACAGGGGGGGGGAACTAGATGAGCTTTAAGGTGCCTTCCAACCCAAACCATTCTCTAATTCTATGATACTATGGGGCTTGCAATTTTGAAAGGTTTTTAGAGAATAAAAACCAAAACAAACATGCAACCCCCCCACTCAGTTTTGCACATTCAATAAATAACACAGTAAGGACCATGAGATGCTGACCACATACATTTCTGTTGTTTCCTATTTCCCCAAGATAGGCTACATCAAAGCCCACAGTAAGTTTTAGTTTTTGGCAGACTGAACACCTACATTTACAGAGAGACAAAAATGCGACAGGACCAGCCACAGCCACACTTTCTCTCCAGCCTTATCTGGGTTGTTTGCAGTCCCTGCCAAGTGCGAGCAACTCAAATCCCAAAGGCAAAGCAACAGAGCTACAGCCCTGCAAAGGACTCAACCCAGAGCATCTCTGAAAGTGCGTTTTCTCCTGTGATTTCTGATGGCAATTACCAGAGTCCTTCAGTGGTTGGGCTTGATAAGTTTTGAGGTAAGCAGTGCCAGCTCCTGGCCTGGCACAATCCCCTCCAGCATTTGCTCCAGACAGAGGAGTCCTCATCTTCACAGAGAAGCTGTGGCTGCCCC